GCGAGACGACGTATTATTTGAGGCGCTACATTGAGGAGGACACACTAGTCATGTCAGCGGACAGCCGCCCGTCGCCGCCTCGTAACCTCGAAACATCTGGTGAGTTCCAAGAAGAACAACACTCAGTTGCCAAAGCTCAGCGGAGAGACCGTCGTAAATGCCGCGCGTGCTCCGTGACAAGAACAGCCACGACCAAGACACCAGAAGAGTATCATACGCGACTTCCTCCCTCATTACCTGCGACAGGAAAAGGAAGTAGCAGGTCTAGACTTTAACTGCTAAGTCTCTTCCCACTTCCACTGTCGGCAACGCGCATACTCAGCACATTTCTTCCCTTGCTCTCGCCTGTCTCCACGAGCATCTCGAGGATGGCAGCCTCTCCACAAGCTAGGCGGGGACTTGGCGCCAATAATAATTCGTGATCTCACTTGACGTCAATAAGAATTCTCAATCTCTAAGTCCAACCCCCGATTGAAGCCCTCGCGTTTCTCACACGTTCTCCCTCTCTCTCTCTCTCCAACAGCCAGCTTCCCACTTCCCTTTCCAGTTGACTCTCTCTCTGGGTCATGCCACATGTCGACCTTTCGCACGCACAGGTTCAGTCACGACTAGCCCTCGGGACGTGATAGTCGAGCCGCTCTTCTCTGCTTGCTCACCCACGCCACGGTCCGTCTCCGAAAAAAAAGCAGTTGACGTTATTCGCACCTTGCAAGCCCGCTTCCCGCTCTCTCTCAGTCTCCCCTTTCGTTGACTTCTCCTCCTTTTCTCAAGCCTTGCCACGTGCAGCTTGTACCCGCGTGTCCCCTCTTCGGGCTCAGTCCCGCATTCTACTAGCCTCCGCGGTCGATGGTCCAGCCCCTGTCGGCCTCACTCTGCCCCAGACCGAACCGGCCTCGGGCCCGTCCTCCACTGGTCTTGCCAGCAGATGGTTTCGGCGGATCTGGTCCAGCCCATGCCAGGACTGGACGTCTGCTTCTCGATCGCTCGTTTTCGACTCCCCCTCCAAGTCCCTCTCGTTGTGCTGTACCTCCCTTGTCGTGGTCCCTGTCGACGAGTCATCCTCATGGTAGGTGACCGTTACCCGCATGCTCGCAGTCACCCCGTCTCGCCTGCACCTTCGCTCCGCCCTGTTACTTGCCTCGGTAATAGCCGCCTGCAGCTTCTCGTTCCTCCTCATCTTCTGCTCTCGATGGCCACAAACATTAACTTTTAGCCTTACCTCCCCTTTAGGCTTACCGTAAACCAGTATGGTCTCCACTACAGTGCCTTTCTCGTCCTCACGCTCCCACATCCAGGAGTATTTCATGTACCTAGGCCTATAGCCACGTAGACCATCCCGGTCTGCCATAGCCGCTCTCAAAAAAGCCAGGGACTTAGTTTCCAGGCGTTTGCACACAGATAGCCCTTACTAGCCCCCGGCACTCCCCCTTTTCTTTTATAGGCTCGTCCCCTGCCGCGACCCCTGCGTTCTGAATGAAAGACTCAGATTAGCCCTTTTTCAGACCTTTCCTGATTCAAGGATTTTTAAAAGTTTCAAAATAATAGAATAAACTCGAACTAAATAATTTCAGAGGACAACACTTGAGCCCAGAACCCAACGGTCGATCGTGAACTAGCCTCGCGCTACCGTCAGTCCTGGACCCCAGTGATATGACTGTAGACTCGACACTGGTCCCATAACGAGACATCGACTGCCAACCCCTTCTCTTCAAAACACGTCGCCGGACTGACCCTAACGGGTACCCGTGTCCGATGGCAAGGAGGGGGCTTATGACCTTCCACGGAGGGTGATAAGCCTCCTACCAATGCGGCCGCGGGTTGCCACTCTTTTGGGGCCTTACCGCGCGATGCTCAATCGAACAACTCTGGCACAGGTGACTTATGAGGGGTCGGGCCAGCCTAGGCCGTCAGACAGCAGTCGTAGTCCAAAATTTGTACCGTCGGCCTCCACTTTGAAGCGACAGAGACCAGAAAAAGAAAAGAAAAGGAAATCGCCTGTGAGAAACCGGTAGAATAATAATAATAATAATAATAATAATAATAATAATAGTAAAGGAAAAGGGAAACTCAATCGATACAGCAGACAACCGTCGCTAGATTATTCCAAATTAAAGCAATGGCCTTGATCCTCGTGCTGATCAGGCGTTCTGCCTTCTTTTCTTTTATTTTTATTTTCTTATTCTCCTCTTACCCCTTTGCTCAGTTTTTCCTTTCCGACAGCAACCTGTTTTCGTGCACCCAACCCATAACCTGGTAGAGGGGCATTTGGCGCACAGTTGAAAAATCAGCGCCGGTCTGTCTACTTTCGCGTCCCAGGGCGAGCCCGGCGGCTACCACGGCCACAGGCCGGTAGTGCTCTGCTGTACAGCAGGGCGCCGAGCCTGCATGGACCAATGGAAAACCCTGTGGCGCACCCTTTTTGCAGAGGGCAGGCACCAACAGGGTCGGTCCACGTCAGGGTACAGCCTGGGTACCAAGGATCGAAGAGGTTCGAAAATTTGCCTACTGGCCGCGATGTCAGCGAGAGACTGATTCCAAGCAAGGACTCGGTACGCAGAGGAGGGCCGGGACACCGCGCCCTTCGACACCGGGCCCCGCACCCCCGGTCCCCGCACCCTCTCGACCCCC